CTGTTAAGCCAACCTTGCAGAATTGTTGCTAATTGTCACTAATACTATACAGACTGCTCACAAAACAAACTGGACAGTTCTTTATCCCGATGTTTATAAAACAAAGTGGGTAATGTCAGTTCAGCCTTCTGCTAGAAACACTTTTTTTTTTTTTTTTTTTTCTGGGATAATAAGCAAAAAGCTATAATAATCTGTTTTTATTTTCAGCATCTTGGTAGAAAATAAGTTGCCTGAAGAAATTTTTTTTAAAGCTAAACTAATTGTGTGCTGTACGTGATTTGCTCTGCTGTTCAGTTTGGGTTCCTTATTGATCCTCTGGTATTTTTCTGATCTCTATTATCCACAATGATCTAGTTTACAAATAGCATGACATCTGTATTTTTGTTGTAAAATCTGATCTATAAAATTGTCTCCTGAGATATCCATTGTCTCACTTAATCAGATTTGTTATGTCATTAGCCAGCAGAGCTGAGCAAGTCAGAGTCTGTTTTTGTAGTGGCAGCATTATTCAAGTCTTAAATGGAATCAAAGGCACATGAAGACATTTCAGTTTAAAATAAATGACAATTAATCTCCAGCTATTTTATTATATTACAAACATGCACATTTCAAAATAATGCCTCTGTGGGAATTTTTAATAAATACCGTTATTCCAGTCACAGAAGAATGGTGTAAATCTCTTGGAGTTCTTAAGCACTGCTTGAGGAAGATGCAGCAACGCGTGGTTAACTCAGGTAGTCCCATGCCTGAAATTGTCCATTTGACAATCAGCCAAGTATATTTTATATATAATACATGGAAAATGGGTACTGTCTGCTTTGCCAGATAATCTAAATAAAATACAGCTAATTACGCCTTGTCACTTTAAAACAAAGGAGGTTCTTTCACAAATGCTAGTTACATAAACATAAAAAATGTCATACTGTCCAGAAAAACTGCGGGGCGGCTCTGTGAAATGCTAAATATTACCTCAACACCTGGCAGTATTGTGGCTTCTAGTTGAAGAAAAAAAACACAAAACCTGTTGCTGAGATCAGTTTCAACATCTCTCCTGTTATGTGACACAGTCTGCAGTAAATTTTAATGTAGAAACAATGGATGACATACTTTCTTGTCTGTCACATAGAAACTGTTTTGAAAAATGAAAAGGATCTCTTGTGCAACTCAGGGAAGCCGACAGGCCAAGACTCTTATGGTGAAGAAATCACTTTTCTTATAGTCCAGAAGCATCATTGCCATTTTACGTTGATGGTTTCCTCAGCTATCCTTCTGTGCAGAGGACAAAGCAGGTTTTTTGTTTGTTGTATCTTGTTGGTCTTGGTAGATGACTGGCAGAACCTCGGCTGCCAAGCAGGAGAGGACGGGTGTCAGCTAACAAACCAGCCCTTCAGAATCAGGAATGCTGTGGTTGATACACCAAGAGCTATTTCTCCTGGTCACTAATTGTTGTGGCATGCATTTGAGAACAGTTTGAGCCATTACTATATCATTTCAAAAAAGTGTGGTTGGGGATATGTGAAAGGGAGGGGAGGGAAAACATAGATGGAGAAAGGTTGAAGTTTTAAAGGGAGGAATATGTCTGGGAATTTATCTTTTTGACCAAAAAAAAAAAAAAATCAATTTTTAAAAAAAGTTGTTATTTTCTGACCATTTCTGACCATGCTGACCATTTCACAAGTGCCCTAAAATTATTTGTATGAGAAGCAGAATAACTGATGCCTTAGTAGAATTGTAATGAGTGTATGGGAACTGTTGAGTCACGGCCTGAACCCCTGATTGATCACCTGAGGCAAGCACTGAGTCAGCCACGGAAGCACAGGTGAAGGCAATTCAGCTGTGTGCCTGGAAGGGATGGAGCCTCTCCTAGAGGCCTAGAGGCTCTCCTGGAGGGCTGTGCCTCTCCTAGACCCCATTTAAGGGCTGGCTGCCCCTGGGGGAGGATCTCTTCTGGAGTTTCCTCCGTTTGGAGTTCTTTACTGTGAGCCGAGGACATGAGTGAGCATTTCATTGATTGACTCTTTCTACCATGATAATCTTTCTAGCTATAAACCTGTAAAATGCTATCCTAACCATGCTACTCTTCTAACTGTACATTTGTAAATTGTACAAATGAGATAAAATGTTGTCTTGTGTGAGGATAATCAGATTGTTCGGATTCAGAATTTCCTAGGTAAAATTAAATATGATGCTTTCTTTTTATCTTCTGAGAAACATAAGATGCACAGCTGTATTATACTGTATCAATTGCTGTACCAATTGCTTCAAGAAACACTTTACTGAAAGAAATGTTGTTTTTTTATGATTATTAATTGAGATTTTAGAAAGATCTCAAAACCTATAATAACTGTGCATAGTTGCTACAAGAAATTAAAAATTCCTGACTGCTAACTCATATTGTGGTGGGTTGGGTGTTTGCTGGTCAACCTTTACATAGTAACTTTCAGCAAGCAGAGGACAGGCAGTACCAGAAATGAATGGAAAGAGGAGAAAAAGGCGGGGAAAAAAAACAGCCTAAAACTACAAACTATTATGGTGTCATTGATCCAGGTTTGGTCCAGACAAATCCAAGGGCTTATTATAATGTTTATTCTGAAGCATCCATAAATGTGGCACCAAGGACTGCTGCCTTTCCCACTGCTGCTCTGTAATGCTGTGAAGCACCAACTTCGGGTACTGTGGGAGGGCCTGCTGGTGGCTCTGAGGTCCTGGGCACTGATAAGAAGCACGTCACTCTGATTCCAGTTTAAAAATACAGAATAGTGATTGATTTATTCGGAGAAAATTTCTGCTAAAATCAGAATGTTGGTATGTAACGTAGGGAAGTACACCCTATATACTTCAATGCCAAAGCTTTCTTGCAAAAAAGAAGAGCTAATGTTTGTTGTTTTTTGTCTTTTTGTTTTAAAATGTTTTTCTTTTCACTCTTTAGAAGATATGACATGGTATCTCAGAATCACAGGCTTGCTGAAATGTATCTCCTGTGGAAATCTTCTGTGAGAGCATGTCTCAGTACTGAGCGAAACATTCTTCCATTAGAGAAGATAACTAGTCCAAATAATTTGTACGACTTGTTAAATACCACTCTCCTCAAGAATTGTCAGTATTTTCAAGAAGATTAGGATTCCACTTCTTTACTGAATTGCAGAACTTTATGGGTTGGAAGTGACCTCAAGAGATTGAATCCAGCTCCTTATTGTCAGGAATTTTAGGTCTCCAAATTGTTTTATGCTGAGTTTTCTGATATCGTAGTAATTGATGTTTTTCTGAATGGCTGGCTGATGTTTTAAATCTGCAGAGCTTTTGGTGTGGTAAAGACCTACATCCCAAACGTTACATGAAAGATTGTTTTTTAAAGAACTAGAATAAGTTTGAAATCCTTGCCATGTGGACATCAATTTTTTTTTTTTTTTTTTTTTTGAAGCTAAGACTGATTATATTTTAGTAAAATTTGAGTGCATCTGGACAATCCATCAGAAGAATACGTATTTTCTTAATGACCATTATCTGAGGTCATAACTATGTGTATATGTATCTCCATATCTTTAAACAGACTCCTGTGTCAGTTTCAATAAAATGCTTTGAATTATTAAAGGTTCTTCACGGGGAAAATGAGATGCTCTTTATAAAGGAGTTTTGGGTTTTGTTTTATACTGAGGACAGTGGTGAGCTGAGAATAAAATAAATCAGAGTAACTATCTAATGATGTATTTGAAAAATATTGTAGATAACCTGTGAGCATCCTAAAGAGTTGCCCTTGCCTCCACACTTTAATAAAGCTGGTTACTGCCTAAACCAAAGGAGCTATCCAGAATGAGAGTGAGCCAGGACACTGAAATATGTATACCTGGTTAGGATGACAGTATATCAGAAGCCACAGCTGTGGTCATTTGGTGAATGGCTCTGCCTCATATGTGTCTATGGGGGGGGGGGGGGAGTATAGGGTGTTTTTTTTCCCCTCTTACTTCTTTTCGTAACTAGGCTTTATTTCCTGCTGCTATTTGTGGTGGTGAGCAGGCAGTGCATCTGGGCATGCAGGGACACCAAGGAGGCTGAGGTGTGTCTCTCACCATATACTTCTGGTAGCTGATGCTGATCTCAGGGCAGTGGTGCTGGCCATATGGGGCAGCTGCAGGAAGCTTTGGTGTGTCCACAAGTGACTTCACTTGGCACACGTCTGCTCTGCACATGTTGACACAGGACTGCTGAGACACCCTGACAGCTAGAGATAATGGAATTAATTGTCGTGGTCAAGCAAGTAGTCAGAGTTAAGCATTGTAGTTCCATGTAATTAATGACAAGTGTATTTTGATGCATTTTAGAGAAGCTCCCAGTTTGTTGCTGCTGAATGATAGGCTGTCTCAATGCCAAGCCAAGTTTTGAGGTTCACTTCCTGGTTTGGTTTCCTCCTGGAAACTGTACAGCTTCCAGCTGTCATAAAGCACATTAGACAGGAACTCTGACAGTGATTATATTTATGCTTATCAGAAATGCTAGATTCTAATGGCAAAGATCAAGCATTAAAAGATAGCAACAGGCAGCAAGAGCATAGCTCTTCCCCATTGCTGTCCCTTCAGAGAACAAGCCCGTTGTTCACAGAATTCATATTCACATTAGGTACAATTCATCCTATCTGTCTGGTTCCTTTTATTGTACAATAAAACTTGATTTATTCTCATTTGAATACAGAGTATATAGCTGTGTAAGTTTAAGATGGTTATAAACAGTTACTTTCCAAGTAGCACAATATAAAGCCTACTGCCTGAGGTATTTCTGAGGAATGAGAAGCATTACTTGCCAAAGGGCAGAGAGAGAGAGAAAGCTGTGTTTTGGATCTGAACATTGTGCCTGGAGCCAATCACTAGTTATGCTGATACCTGCTTAGTTCTTCACTCTTAAAAAAAAAACAACAAAAAGCCAACAAATGAAGAGCATGCAGATGTGCTTCCTCAGTGGACTTATCCTGAGTCTGGAAAGCCTAACTCTTTGTATTTTGCTTACAGAATGGTCTCATCGTTGCCTGTTACCAAGGATATGTGGATATTGTCATAGCCTTATCACAGTGTCCTCATCTTGATGTGAACTGGCAGGACAATGAAGGGAACACGGCCCTGATCACAGCTGCACAGGCAGGTAAGGGTCTTCTCTGCCTCCTGTGTGGGGTCTTAGGAGGGATCCATGCTGTGATTGCTATTTGTAGGATTTTTTTCAAGGCCTTATAAGAGGCCAAGCTCCCAAATAAGCTTGTCATTATTTTTTTTAACTAATTAATCTAAAGCAATGTTTATCCTGTAGACTAACAGTGAATAAGCTATACATAAGCATATAATGTTTCTAGTGAGTAACCAAACTTTGTCCTGTGTTGCACGTAAAAGTGAGCTCTGATAGAGAACCCTGAAAGAAGGAATAGCAACCACAGTTATGTTCATAGCTAAGTTGTAAGCATGGCAGCTTTTTAAAGTGGAGAAGTCTCCAAAGCTCTCATCTTTTATTTATCTGTGCTAACACAGATTTGGACAGTAGAAGGTTTAACATTAACACCAACTCCTTCCTGATTGTTATAACTCACACTAATGAGCTCAGAATTAATCTGGAGGGCTGACATTGACTTGACTCTGTCTGCCAGCACTTGTTATTGATCCCCAGTGCCTCTGCAAATGACTGCAGTCAGCAGAAGCATACACAAACCCCTAACAACTGGGGAGTTTTCCCCTGCCTATAATAATCCTGAGCTCTGACACTGACACCAGTTGTTTAATTCATCATCATGAGACACAGCTGTAGCATTAATACAGATTACCATGTGGTTAACACTGCAACCAGAGTAGCTACAGTGTGAAAGATGCTGCTTAATTACTGCTGAACTTTAAGTAGCAACACTAAGCGGTGTGTTACAAAGAAGTGAAAGAAAAGCCTGTGCTATCTCACCTTTAGTGGTGGGTTGATTCAGTTTTACTGAATATTATTTTTGCAAAACAAATTATTCAAGAAGCTCTCTGACATTTATGCCAAAAACAAAACAAAACAAAACAAAACAAAAAAAAAAAAACAAAAACAAACAAACAAAAAAAAACCACCCAAACAAACAAACCCAACAATATTTCCTACTGAAAGTCTATTTATTTCAGCTAACTGCAGGGTGGTATCCAGGTGGTTTCAGAGAGTGCTTCTGTTCTTGTTATGGTCCCATAAACATCTGTACGTGCTTAAGAAGTGTCATGGTTGCCTAGATATATTGTTTCAGTGTAGTCAGCATCTAAAATTAAATAGAATTATTTTACAGACCAGTTAGGGTCTCAGATGAGCATTGAATTCAGTTCCTTTTCCCCCTCTGATTTTGATAATTTTAGATTCACATCTTTCAAAGAACCCGTTCTAAACTGAAGCCTTTCTGCATGGGCTGACCTGAAGAAAATAGTCTGAGGAGATCAGATCAGTGGGAAGCAATAGGCAATAAGAAATAATTCATATAGAAAAATCAACCACAGACAAAGCATTTTAATGTCAAATGTACATTTCAGGTTTGAAAATGGGTCTGTTTTCTTGCTCTCTCAGCGTTTCTTACAGACATAGCATCCTTCTCAAGAGGCTTTTCCCTTTCAGAACTGAAAATTGGTAGTGGCCAGCAAGGGGTGAAGCCCAGAAATAGGCAGTGGTGCTGCTAAAGGAGAAATAGAGTCATTAATTGGCAGAACAGGGGAAGTGCAGGAAAAAAAAGTAAGATCGATGCAAATGAGAGAATGAAATAACATGCAGCAAAAAGGAAGGAATGAAAATGGTTACGAAGAAGGAAAGAGGGTGAAAGTCTACATTAAATTAAAAACTGCTGATTCTCAGGTCTGCTGTTGATGACGGCATAGTTACATTAGTGGCAGCGTATAGTAATTGATAATTGGTGGCATGTGCTGGGCTTTAGAGCTGTAATTATTTCCTTTTGAAGTATGGATATTATTCATTACAGGTCAGTTCGGGGCAGGCTCTTGAAACACAAATCACATAGTAGCCTATTTCTTTGCATTAATGGAGACATTAGAATGCAACTACCTCAGACATACAGATCATAACGACTGTGCATCTTCAGTTTTACTTGTCTGTCAGAAAGTATTCAGTGTCTATAAATCAAATGCAGGCTATCTGGAAACACAAGTCATGTCCAAGCAGTGGCACTATATGACAGAGCATCCTCCTTATTACACAGAGTTCCCTTCTGCCTGCACTAAATAGATTATTAGGAATTATCGTAACCATTACACACATTCTCTCTGTGGTAGCAATAAAGTGAACTAAGCTGTTACAGACATCTGTGCTGTTTACTAAATGTGTCTCATAGGGCGAAGGAGTGTGCCCTCAGCATGCCAGTCCTCCAGCAGGTAGAGCTGGCTTACAGACAGCAGGGCAGCAGCTCGATTTAGATCCTGTGTTGCTGCCCTGCCTGGTGCTAGGCTCATTTATTGCAGAGCTTCATGCAGCCTCCATTGCGGGCTTTAAATCATGAAAGACTCACTCACCTGATTTATGGCTTAGATATGCGCCACTAGTTCCTACAGATGCAGGAGAACTGAAGCAAACATTGTGGCCTTAAATCAAAAGCACATGGCACGGTCTGAACACAAACTTGGCAGATTTGAGTTTCACTTTGAATTTGATGTCTGTTTGAACTTGAAATTTGAAACAAACCCGAGAGGACAGAATCTCCTGTAAACTGAAACTGAAGTGATTTTCAGGAATCCCCGTGAAATGAAGGCGCTGGATTTTGTGTTCTATTTCCCGCACACTGTTGGGCCATCTGTAGTACCCCAGAGAGTTTTGCTTGCACAAAGTCCCTTGGGTTGTCTCTTAGGCTTCCTCCAATTCACAGAAAAACATCTTACTGCAGCTATGGTCCTGACAAAGGGAAGAATATCTTTAGTAATGTATAAGTGCTGAGAAATTGTCCGTTTTATCATTTCTCCTTGGTTTGGTTCCTGTCTCCAATTTCTCTGTCAAAAAGCATTATTTCAGCTGTTGCAAACCAATCATGAAGCACGCTGTACATTGATGACACAGAAAATGTCCTACAAAACAGCTTGGACATGAAGCTTCTCCTGGTAGTAACTGATACCCTGTCAGAATTTGGTCTCACGCCATAAAGTCAGTGAAGCTGAAGCCTCTGTGCTGAGTAAGCAGGACTGGGTCACTCTATCCTGCCTTGAACATGGTTCACTTTTGCTGTTCAGCTTACTGCAGTTTGCTGTATCTTTACATTTCATTTCCATCAGCCCATCCAAGGTACTGTGAGCATCTTCCCTGGTTTTCCCTTACTCTGGCATTATTGAGCTGATCTGTGCTCTCTCCCCACTTGTTCAGGTTTCAGCAGGGTATCCAGTTATGTGGCAAGGTAGCAGAGTCCAGCTCCCAGATTCTGGGGTGCAAAGAGTAACAGCTGGAAAACATCTTAAGTTCAGTGCTAAAGCTTTTCTTAACTTGCTTTCCAAAGTGAGTCCAGGACTGCATTGGTGCAAAGCCATATCTGATGAAATCTGCACCAGATGCGACAGCATAAGCTTTAAAAAGTGTCCTATGTGAATTATAATCTGCTTCAGTAACATTTCTAGATGAATTTGAGTGATATGCATCACAGAATATTCAGCTGGACTGCAGGGAGAAATGAGAATATTTTTACAGTGCCTCGTAATTAAACTGTGATTGTCGCAGCTGCCTGGCAGACTGCATTATTTCATAGAGCATCAAAGCATCATAAAATGAATGGCAAAAAAAGGGTAAAGTTTTTTGAATGAGTCATAATGGCACTGGATATCTGCCTTGTTCTGAAGGTCCAATTATAAAGGCTTGATGTTTTAATTAGTCTTCCCACCAGCTAGCCAGAGATAGCTTCAGCTACTAAGCACACCCCTGCTGACACAAGTGGCTTTGCATGGTCAGATGGTAAAGTAAAAATGTCGGAGCCAGTGCAAAATATTTATTTGCCTAGTACCATGGTTAGCATGGTTTGCTTGTAGTATTGGCTGCAACTACCACATGTAATTACTACTTAATGGAGCACTGTGACTGTAAGGCTCAAATTTATCAGAGGGGTGAAAAAGCTGAATCTTTGCTAGGAGTTCCTTCAGGGGACAGTCAGTAGGACCTCCTGCGCAAGAAACTGAGGCCCCTTCAACCCCAGAGTGACCACCTCTGATCTTTAATTATTCCTGTACCTTAGATTCATTTTCAGAGTGGAAAAAAACATCACTGAAGGCAACCCGAGGGCCGGTGGGAGTCCAGCTTTCCAGGACTATCCCGCGTTCTGCCACAGGACAGTGCCACCTAATGCTGAAGCCAATGACTGCAATGAGCAGAAAAGTTACTTGAGAACAGATCCCATTCATCGTCCGTATTTTTGCAATAATCAAACCTGCAGGAGCAATTTTTGGTTTGACCTTGAGGCTGGCTGTTAATTCTGTGATGGATTTTCTCTGCTTCTTCTTCTTCTTTTTAAGGGCACATAACCATTACAAACTATTTGTTGAACTATTTCCCTGGGCTTGACATTGAGAAGAGGAATGTGTTTGGATTTACAGCACTGATGAAATCTGCGATGCAGGGACGAACAGAATGCGTGAAAGCTTTGATGATGGCAGGTATGCAAAGTGCTTTGCTGCTCTTCTTCATCATCTAACTGCAAATACTAGTCCATCACACATAAACATCAGCAAGGGATGGTGAGAACATTGGGGCAGCATCCTCTAGTAGAGGAGCAAGGCTGAGTCTTGGCAGGGCCATATGACACCTTTTAGCCATAGTGTTGTGTGCTTTAGTGTGTTGAGTAATTGATACATAAATTATTAGTTAACAATTAAAGAATTAGTACATATGTATGTTAGTGTACTTTATTTTTTTGCAGTTGCAAACGTTGAACACAAGTTTTTATGGAAATGATAATAGATAGCATGTGAATATCGTTGTTATTTAGACCCCAAATCCCACAAGTCCATTTAGCTGTAGGCTGAGATGTTGAATAGGTAGTTCATGTCCGCTGTTTTGCTGCCACAGAAGTTTAATCCTTCATAATTTCATAGAATTGTAGAATCTTAGAATGGCCTGGGTTGGAAGGGACCTCAAGGATCATGAATCTCCAAGGCCCTGCCACATGCAGGGCTACCAACCTCCACATGTAATACTAGAGCAGGCTGCCCAGGGCCCCATCCAACCTGGCCTTGAGCACCTCCAGGGACGAGGCATCCACAACCTCTCTGGGCAGCCTGTTCCAGCACTTCACCACTCTCATACTAAGCAGAACTTAAATTTGACTGTTTTAAGTAGAAAGCATTTATCAAACATAGTGACATTATTTTCATCCATTTTTATAATATCCAGTTTCTTGATGTTGATGTGACACAGAAATGCTTGAATGATATGGCAACTGGCAGTATTTTCTGCAAGGTTCTCCAGCCTGTTACACTGGAATCAAGGTTTTGTGGAGTCAGATCATTCATTTTGGCGTTAAATTTTTATGAAACAAAGTTATGAAACAGTGGTTAGAGCTGGTATATTGCTAGACACAGGTGCACTTTCTGAACTAATGTCTATTTCAAGCAGATGCCAGTACAGAATTTTCCAGTGGCTGTTATAAATTATCAATTAAAATGAAACTTCAACTCCCATACCTTAAAACTTGTCAGATTGACCTGACAGTGTCATGGCTTTCTATTATTATCACTTGGGATCTGATGGAAACTCGTTCTGCCTGTTTTAGTCATGACAAGCTGTTTCACAACTTTCCATCATTGCAGGTAACTCAGTATAGACATCAAATTTAACATATGGTTGCTGCCTCTGGCATCTGAACAGTCACCTGCTTTTCTTCCTGTTCTGTAAGCAGACAGATCAGTGTGAAGAACAAACATTTCACCAAACAGAAAATGACCTTGTTAGTCTCCTGTCATGTTTTCCTACAGGAAGTTACGTTGGGCTAGTTGTGCATTAGAGATAGCGAGGGTAGCAGAGAACACCTGTTGGCTAAAGGCTTGTAGGATTAATCATGGAATATCCCGAGTTGGAAGGTTTCCGTAAGAATCATTGAGTTAAAATATATCACACATTTTTAAACTGCAGTTTATTTACATGTTTTAGTGATCACTTTGCAGGTCTGCACACTTTCAGCTGAAAAACAGGGGCCATTTCAATATCCAGTTATTGTATAGCACTGCACAGCCTGGTGAAATGGAAAGACGGAGCAGCTTGTTCAGAATGGATTTGGAAATAGTTTGGGGGTGAAGGGATACTGAGTGGCTGCTGACTATGAAGTACTGCTTTGCTGAAGAGTGCATAATACATTGTTGTTGAATGATCTGGGGAAAAAATCAGTTTCATAAATAAAACAGTTCCTTAGGTTCCAGCTAAATTCTATGTTAAACAGTAAGAACACATGGAAATACAGGGGGGGAGGAACCCGTAATCAGCCATGAGTCTCTTTGCGTAACCTCTGACTGTTGTTGCAGCAACAAAACAGGCATGTGTGCTGCTAAAAGAGTTAAATCCAGTATCTGCTTAGTGACTTGGGTGAGATCTCTGTTTTCTGGCAATTTCTTATGGCAATGCAGGAGGGAACTAAAGGGAAGCTCACTTTTCTAGCTGCCTGAGTAGAATTTGGCTGCTGGATGGGAAAGGGACATCAGCGGAGTGTGATAGATGGTTGGAGCTGGATTTTTTTAAGTGGATGTTCTTCCTAAAACTTGAGTTCCTGGAGAGTGGCCAAGGTCAATCACTGTAAGATGAAGGTGCTCTGAGACACTTGGCTGTAATGTTTCCTCTTTCAAAGTGATTCTTTGGAAGGTGGGGATTTGTGATTTGGGAATGCAAAGTTAAAAAGAGAGGAGCTGAGCCTCTCATGGGCTGTTTGTCATGGGTAGTTGCACAGCAAGGACCGAATGGTGCCAGCAGCCAGTGAGCCTGGGCAGGAACACAGGAATGCATCATTGCTCACCACTCAAGCCCTGCTGAAATCTCCAGTGCAAACTCAGTGCTGCTTCAGTAAAGCCACTGGTGTGGAAGTGGTCATAGAGACTGGGCTTTAAATACAGTGTGTGAAACAGCTGCTTAATAGATGCCTGTCTCTCTGTGCTCTCCTGTTAAACACAGAGTACCCCAGTGCCAATGTGTTGGCCATGCACGTGCTGCTCTCACCTGCTCCCTCTGTTGCCCTCAGCCACCTTCATCAGCTCCCTCCTGGGAAATCTCTCCTGTGATTTTGCTTTCTTCTTTTTGGTCTGATGCTTATTCCTAAACTAATTCTTGTGCTGGAAGTTTATGGGTCTGAGCAATATTTCTGAGCTAAGAGCTCCCAGACCCAAAGTCCTGCCTCTTGTGGATCTTCTGCAGTAACGTGTGTGAGCCTCCATGGTTCTGTGCTGACAAGGCCATGCCCCATTCTCTGCCTGTCATATGGACTCAAACTCAGTCAGAGCATTGTCTGAAGGGAATCACAGAGCTGAACTTTGTGAATTTCTCTCTCAAGGCCTTTCAGCAAGGCAAGGTCAAGCAAAATGGGTATGGTTGCCTGTCAGGAAACCCTCTAGGATTTGATGGACAGTCTGAGGTTTCACCTCAGAGATGAAGAGCGTGGCCAGCAGGTTAGGAGAGGTGATCCTTCCCCTCTATTCTGGCCTGGTGAGGCCACATTCAGACTGTTGTGTCCAGTACTGGGCTCCCATGTTCAAAAAAGACAGATCTCCTAGAAGGAGTCCAGCGCAAGGCCAGAAAGATAATTAAGGACCTGGAGCATCTCCCATATGAGAAAAGGCTGAATGACCTGGGTTTGTTCAGTCTAGGGAAAAGAAAACTGAGAGTAGATCTGATAAATGTCTATAAACATGTAAAGGGAGGTGGGAGGCAAATGGATGAGGCTCTTCTGGTGTGGTGTGATAGGACAAGGAGTAATGGCCTAAAACTTGAACATAGGAAGTTCCATATAAATCTGTGATTTTTAAAGTGTCACTTTTTAAAGTGACAGAGCACTGGAACAGGTTGCCCAGAGAGCTTGTGGAGTCCTCCTGTGGAGATATTCAAGACTCACCTGGACCTGTGTCACCTGCTTTAGCAGGACGGTTGGACTTGATCTCTTGAGGTCCCTTCCAACCCTTGGGATTTTGTAATTCATTAATTCTGTGTCTAGTTAATATTTTTGAAAGGACATGACTATTCATGTCTCATGCAGGTATGACATTTTGTTAAGTGACAGTTTTTTTAAAAAATGCCTCTGGATTTGTACAGAAAATCAATACCATGATAGCAAATCATGCCTAACAAGAGATCTAGTGTAACAAGTTACAAAGTCAACATCGATTTCCTCTGAAAGATCAGGATTTCTATACCATGTAGTATTCTTTCCTGAGATAAAGTTTCCCAAATACCTGGGTACGCATCTGTCAGGAGCAGTGAGGGATGGTTTAACCTCAGAGATGAGTGATCCAGGGGCTGCAGCAAGGCACAGAGGCACTGGCCTCATCAATAAAGGCACTTCTTGAAGGAATGGAGCAGGTTGGGTGACAGTAACCACAGTCAGCTAAGTCCATGGTGATGAGGCAAGACCACAGGGACAGGGGAGGTCTGAGGTGAAACTAGTGAGTGCAGGGCAGGGTCAGCAAGGCACGTGGCCAGGCACAGCTGCAGCACAGCTCAGGCAATGACCGGAGCTTGAGTGTCTGAGCTTGAATGCAGCCTCCAAGCAAAGGTAAATTTAGACACAATTCCCTTAGCTTCTACTTTTCCCTTAGTAAATCTTTGCCTGTTATGTGAAAAGCAAACAAACAACTTCCACATAGTTCGCCATGTTTCCAGTCAGGTTTAATTGGAAGGAGTACAGACACAGGCGAGTATTCAGAAGGGGACCAGACAACAGTCTAGAACAAGAGAGTCAGGGGTAGGAGTCCGGGCAGGAGGATTTCGGAAACAGGCTAGTGTAGCAGGAGGAAATGTCTTTTTGTGCCTTTCTTCCAGCCTCCTCTCCCTGGTCTGTCTGTAGCTTCTGTTGTCATGAACAGCTTCAAACTCTTTGCCTTTGAGCTCTCACGAGCCTTTCTTCAGCCAACAGCTAATGAACTCTTTGTTTTGATCAAATCTTCCTCTTCTTTGCTTCCTTCAAGTTTGGGCTCCATGCTTCACTCTTTCAAGTGTTTCTGTGCTTTCTCTCTGGATGATTCTGCAAACTTCACTTAAACTCCTCTTAAATCGAGATTGACTTCTTTGTTTTGGTTTTCTCCTTCCATTCATATTCGCTATTTTTCTCTGTCTCCAACTTTCTCTTTTAGAGGTTTTCTCAGGGAATTTGGAGTCAAATGATACTTAGTAGGGTTAAAAACTGAACTTCCAATCACTTTCCCTGTGCTCTCTTTTTTCCTGTTTTCTGTAACAGTTGAACACCCCATTGACTGGAAGATTAAACTGGAGCCATTAGAAACCAGTTTGTGGTTGCCTTTCCTGATATCTAGTTCCTCTCTCATTGGTTTGAAATGCTGTCACTGAGATAAATCCAACTGGGAAAAAATAATTCATCGTGATTCTTCTCTGGCCTTTTCGCCAGGTCTCAGTCTCTGTGCATGTTCATCTTCCAAAGCAGTGTGACAGAACGCCTTTTCTTTTTTGACAAGATATCTGTAGGTCGGTAATGTGTTGGCTGTTTGAAAGTAGCACTTCATCTGATAGAGAAGCTCGTCAAGAAATCAGAAGTTGTAGCCTGTTCACATTTCAGCTTAAAACTTTTTCAAGGAGCTAAGAAATTATCTACAGGAGCAGTGATACATGTGCATCAAAAGTGAATATTAAAGTGCTCAGAAATGTGGACAGTTACAGTTTCACTAACACTGTTTTTCTTTTCTTCAAGGGGCAAATGTTCACACAACAGACCCAAGCCGTGGACTGACTTCATGGGAATGGGCTTGTTATACAGGAAGGTCAGAATCTGCTTTCATCATGCAAAAGCTGATGGATAAACCATGCCCTGAACAGTTTTGTGATCAATATGAACCAGAATGGCCAAAGATGAAGGAACTCCTTGCCAAGGCTGCAGAACCAAAAACCTGTTTGCAGAGGATTTCTGAGTGTGTGAGGTCAGTTGTCTCGTTCCGGGCTTTCCATGGCCCAGAAGAGGATGGGGTCCTTGATCACATGGTGAAGGTGACAACAAGCTTAGGCAGTCCTTTCATTGCTCTGTCATGTAGGACTGTGTGTCCAGGAAGCCCACCTTCTGTGGGAAAACGCAGACTGGCTGTGCAAGAAATCCTTAGGAAGCAGAGAGCCGAGGAGATCCGATCTCAGGACAAAGACCACGTTAGCAGCTATGAGAAATTATTTCAGAACTCCAAAGTCACAGTAATCCCCAAAAAGAAGGACCGTCGAGCAAGTCTGCAGCCCGTCAGCCTTGCAGTGTCTCAAGTGAGCACCATAGCCACCAGGAAAACAAGCCTCCTGCCACTCCACCTGCTCAGAAGAAGTAGTGTGAGGCCAGGATTTGTCATCCCCAAAGTCCGTGTCAGCAAAGCTCCTCCTCCCACCTTTCAACCGGAAAAGGCAAGGAGGAGGAGCAGCGCTAAAGATGATCCCTACTTGCAGATTCCTAAGTGGAGATACAAGGAGTTAAAAGAGGAGCGGAAGAAGGCAGAGGAACAGGAGAAGAAAAGAGTAGCAGAGGCTCAAAGACAGAGGCAGGTGTCTCCTGCCAGAAGCAGAACCTGACTTACTGGCAGTTACTTGGAAGGTTTTAGAGCCATTAGTCTTGTTATCTGAGCAAGATAACAGACTGCGTGCTGTCATGCATGCCTGCTGTTGATGGAGCTGGAATACTGTACAGCGGCCTTTGTGGTGCAGAAACATGGCAAGGGCTATAGCACAATGTGTCTGATTATGGAAGGTGAAGTTATTTTTGGGTGGAAGATAAAAAAAAAAAAGTTCACCTGTATGCTGTTGATATGAAGTTCAAGTGTTGGTTTTTTTCTTATTTCCAGTTCCAGGAGAATGACTGCACAACTCCTTGAAAAACAATGTGTGTGAAAGGATCATATTTTGTTTGTTCATTTTGTAATGGGCACGATTAAGGAGTTGTATTTTTGACACTAGATATTATTTCCTCTTCTTGTATAGGTAGGCATAGTACAAAGTTTTATAGAAATAATGAAAAGTGTAAAATACATCACAGCCTCAATGGGCAGTGAAAATCTAAGTCTACTCTTTTTTTTTTTAATGTATGAAGCACTTTATGGCATATTAATTCTAATAATCAAAGATTAGTGCAAGGTAGATATTGAACTGTACAGCTCTATATGGTCTGTGTGGATACATTCCTTAATATTTTTGTTCTGTATTGAATATAAAGAGGGCTGCATATGAAATATTTCTGTAGCTGAGGTACTCACATCATCTACAGATATAAATCAGGGATAATGACTGGTTTCTTTAGAGCAACAGAGAAGTTGAACTAATTTTTGTATGATACAGTCACCTCTAACATTTGCCTCCCCCATTATGTTTCCCTGTATTCTCTATCTGTTGTCTCTTCTTTAGTCTCAGGGATTTTTTTTGTCTTGGAATTTAACTGTGAAACAATGGAGATGGTGAATCTCAGGTGGGTTTAGATTTGTCTTTTTCCCTTGATATTTAAATTCCTGCTAATAAATAAATAAATAACCACCAGTTTATTGTCAGTGTCTGCTCCGCAACTTTTCCAGGTTATCACCAAGATATATTAATTATGCACTGTATGGGAATTGCTGAATCACTGATTGATCACCTGAGGCAAGCACTGAGCCAGCCATGGGAGCACAGGTGAAGGCAATTCAGCTGTGTGACTGGAAGGCGTGGAGCCAGGCTGCATCTCTCCTAGACACCATTTAAGGGCTGGCTGCCACTAAGGAAGGATCTCTTTCTGTAGATGTCTCCTTTTAGAGTTTTGCTTAGGATACAGGTGAGCATTTCATTTTTGTTTGTCTCTTTTCACCATGATATTCTTTCTAACTATAAACCTGTAAAATACAATCCTAACCATGCCACTCTTGTCTGCACATTTGTTAACTGTACATGCACGTTACAGAAACAGAAGCAATTTTCCCAGGTATCAAATCCAGCCACAAGCTATGAAAATCTGGTTGGAGATGCAGTATCAGCCGCTGATGCTTGGAAACTGTGGTTGGATTCGTTGTGAGGTTTGATATCATGCTTCTGGGTACCTGAAGAGTATAGGGCTTCACTCCGTCTCAAAAGCAGAAGAAAACATTTCTTAGTACTGAAGTTAAAGCAGGAATGAGCCATGCTGTCCCACAGTTGAAGACTGAAACATCAGATGTCCAATCTCTGAGCCTAAAATCTCTGGATATATGGGGACCATACTATCCTCACTGTATGAAGACTTTCAGAGCCATTCTTCTATCCCAAAATTAGATCTAAATTGTTTTGTTGGCCAGAGAAACACATTGTGCTTACAGAAAAGCCCCATCCTTTGGTACACATGAGTGCTTCTGTAAGTGCTTTTTTCCATAGGTTGGTGCTGGTTCTCATGGTCTGGATTAAGGCTGTATGTACTTTTACCAGCAGTCTGAATTATGCCAGACCCTGGAGAATTCTGATAAGGAAGGGCTCTGTTCTTGCTGCTTGCTGAAAAAAGAGCACATTCGGAGAGTGGAAGCCAAAACATCTCAGAGGCTGACCAGAAACTCACTGAATTTGTAACAAAACTATACACATCGTGGGAAAAGTAAATTCAGTTGGCTATAAACTCGCGTTCAGGTCGGTACTGTTAGTCAGTAGGTTTGGGGTCAGGTCTCCACAGGTTGCAGCTGACTGGTGCAACAAGGATGTTAGGCAGAGCCCAGTGTTTGTATGTCTTGCTGGAAGATCTGTGCTGGCTGGACTGCAATGTCAGATTGCCTGCCTTGTACTGACGTGATGCAATAAGCACCCTGCTGATAAACCTCCCCACCCCTATGAATGTAAAGATGGCTTTGGTCTGCACAATGCATTTGTCCTGTGCAATTCATAGGCACTGCTTTTTTAATGGGTTTGCCGTGACCAGAATGTAAGGCTGATCTTGTTTCTCCAGAGAGTGGGAAAACCCCCTTTTAGTCATCTGTGACAAAAATGGCAGGATAGATTTGGATATTTCTCTATCACTATATTGAATGGCTTTACTGTTAATTTCTGCTTACTGCCAGCCGAGTGTACTGGAGATTTAGCATTTGGATTGAGCATGGAAAAGCAACCTGTGCTGCAGGTGAAAGTGCACTCAGTAGCACTTGCAGGAGGCACACAGCTGCCAGGTGCTCTCAGGGATGAATGTGCATTGTGTTAGCGATAGGGGCTGAAGCCCTTTCTGACAGGTGTCTGTGTCCCTTCAGAGCCCACAGAGAGAAGCATGGGCCGTCTGTTGGATGGTGAGGGTTCAAGGCCCATCTCCCCAGTCCGTGTCCCAGATCGCTGTTGTGGGCCCAACAAGCGCCAGCAGCTGCAGAACTGCTAGGGAAGGCCAGCAGGGCAAACTGATTTGTGAGAAATGGGGATTACCCTTACATTTTTCTTCCTTTTAAATCATCACTTGCATAATTTCAAACCAACGCAGCCGTTTGGGTCATTTAAAGAGGTTCTTCATTACTTAATTAATTGCTCACCGAGAAAGCATATTCAGCAGAGATATGGCTGATGAGCAGCCAGCGGTCTTCTTGAGTCAAGCAGGACTGGATTGACAGTTCTGCACTGCCTCTCAGTACAGTAAATCATTCAATTAAACCTCTGAATTCCCAGCCACTAATGAAATGTGCTAAGCTGACGTTATTAGAGATAATGATGAGCGGAGATCGTCTCTGAGCAGTGGGAAATGTGAATTGGGCTAACGGAGGCAATGGGGGGAAGAAAACATGTTGATGTTCACGTTGTGACTCTGATGTAAAACAAGATTGGCTTTTGACCCAACTTCTGACTTGTGTAGATAAGACTTAGAAGCAGCCACAAAGGCTTTCTCTGGTCCGCCAAGGAGTATATTAGTTAAAAAGAAATTGATTTGGTGTGAGCCTCTTCAGGGCCTTCTCAGTTTCTCAGAAGTGGCTTTCCTGGTCATTCAGTCACTGTTTTCAGCACTTTTCTGAGCACCAGGTAATTAGTCTGTACGTCACACACAAACATATCTACTTACTTTCTTAGAGGTGTTGGTATAGATACTAGAATGTTTTACTGTGAAATATCACAGTCATTAGGTGGTAAAACTTGGTGTTTTACCCACAAAATGACTGAGACCTCAGTGCCTCTCTTTGCTGTTATCAGTGGCTCTGATGTGATGCAACAGCAGTGTATGTCCTGCATAGCACCATGTGCGGATAAGAAAATAAATAGATTGCAAGTAGCACGAAGAAAAGGATTTACTGAATGGACAAATCCATTGCTGCAGTAATCCCAGAGGCTCTTTTGAGGCTTTTTATTTATCGGTGGCTTTGGATAAAGAATTGCAGAAGACTTGATTTGGGGAAGAAAAAAAGATAAAGGTTCATTTTAATCGGTCATTAAATCAATGTTTAGATGAAGCCATGCTTTATAATGCTCCATGTTCTGAATAAGGACATCCCGAGCATGGCAAACTGAATGCCCCAAATCAGTGAACAACTTAATTCCCTGCCTGTGTAATGATATTAATTATGCATGGTATTATAATAACCCATAAAACTAACTATAGGAAACACAGCCATACATCATTAACATATCTAGTAGCAGATTATTTAGCACTTATATACTCATATGCATTTACACATCTATAAAATATACACATATGAAAGGCCTCTCACCTCCCAGTGATGATGTAGGGTACTCAGATATGCTAACGATGACTGCTGTATGAAAGCCAGCAGTAAGTAATTGTTCTCTAATAGCCTGTCATTCAGGCCATAAAACAGGCTACAAAGAGAAACCAGACCAGCTGCCTTCTCACTGAACACCACCACGGAGCTCTTGCACAGAAAAAGGCAGGGTGTTCTGTGAAAAATTGTACTTCATTGGGTAATTAAAGTTACTGTGCATATTAATTTTGCCTAGTCAGGTTTAAACCTGGCATTCTCTCTGCACATTTCAATTCACAATGCTCTCACCATTCTTCCATGGCTGCAGAGCCATGACTATTGAACAGGCCAAATGCTTCTGTTTTAGTCCACTCTGAGGAAGCAGAAGAGGCTGGGGAAATGAATTTGGGTGGTTCCTTTCCCCATTGCAGTAGCTTCAGCACAAATGGCATTTATTGCTTTACAAAACCGTTCTTCCCAAACCAACCAACAAAACCATTAAGAGGCAGATGAGCAAAACCCATGCTAGGAGGCTCCACCCTGAGTGCACTTATCTCATAGAATCATGGAATCATAGAATCATTAGTGTTGGAGAAGACCATTGGCCCGTTCCCACCGTGCCCACTAATCACATCCCTGAAGCCCACATCCACACATTTCTTGAGCACCTCTAAGGATGATAGTGACTCTACCAACTCCTAGGGCAGCCTGTGCTAGTGCCTCACCAATAATCAGTATACCAGTATCTCACAAGGCTCCAAATCAGCTAGGAGTGCTTGTAAATGCAGATCGAGAGATGGGCACAGGAACTGCCACCAGCTTCTCTAGCGGGAAGTCTAGCGGACACACGTGAGCATGCATCTGGCATTTTTACAGTCAGTGCCATAGTAACTAAAATCCGCTGAGGGCAATGTTAGCCATCAAAGATGTTTTCTGAGTATCTGTATTCAAGGTGATAAAATATTTACATTCCAACTGCATCTGGCAGAAGGAGCTAAGGTTTCCTACTGCTTGTTGCCATTGTGTTGCAGACAACTTCTCGCAGGAGCTGGTGGCATTGGGATGTTCTACATCATCGTGTGGCAATGTTAATGTGACACAAATCAATATACGATTCAGTTAAGTAATAGCCCCATTAAAAGCCCTGCTCCAGCATTTCAAAAGCATATACAAATGCAGTTGTATTGAAAATAGACTTGCTACATTGCCAGCTTGGCTGCTTTCCCAGGAAAGGGCAGTGAAATAGTTGTCACTCAGAATTTGCCCAGTTTCCATGGTCTTACGTGGAAAGATAAGATATAATCTCTGCTTCCCCAAATGCATCATTAT